GTCTGATGCTGCTAAGTTAGTTGTGTTTTGTTGCTAGGTTAGTTGTCTGATGTTGCTAAGTTAGTTGTATTTTTTTTTTATAAAAAAATTGTAACCCATAGGATTTGAACCTGGTACCTCATGGACGCAAGACAAGCAATGCAACCACTACACCACTCAAGGTTGAGTGTCTTTGGTTGCTAGGTTATTTATTTCAATACAACGGGTCAACCCCGGAAGTCAACGGTCAACGCCGGAAGTCAACGATTCTCGCCGGAAGTCAACGCCGGAAGTCAACGGTCAACGCCGGAGTCAACGGTCAACTATTTTATTATTTAATTAATGTACATTTTAATTGATTTTGATCTAGACAAAATGAGTGGCTAAGATTGAGTCTCACGTACTCATTTTAAGGAGTGGTCTCATTGGATCCATCCCCTATATATATATATATATATATATATATATGTATATAGAATGGATCATATGAGAATGACTCTTAATGCGAGAAATAAGAATGACTCTAGATCATTCGATCAATCAAATTAATGGTCAGGATTTAGTCATATACTAAATATGCAGTCAAATATACTGTGGCAGTTTTGTAAATAAGTGTACAATTCGTTGTCAAATATAGACATTTGGCCACATATTAAAGGTAAATTAGACATTTGATTCAAACCCACTAACATGTGGGACCCACGCTTATAAATCCCACCATCCACATCCACGCTGACACCTTCCCCACCCCTCTCACCTCTCTCTCTCTCTCTCACACACACACACACTCAAACACGCACACTCAACTGCAACAGAAAGATGTTTCCTCCGGCACCTCACACAGTCACCGGCGTCAGCCCATCGACGGCGTCGGCGGCCACATCAACGTCGCCGAACACGTCCAGCACTGGAGAACTCAGCTCCACCGTCGACCACCCTAGAAGCGGCCAAAGGGCGCTGCCGCACAACAAACACTCGCCTCCCGCCGCCGCCATTGGGTAACCGGCTGCCACCGACTTCCGCAGTCAGCTCATAAGCCGCTGTCGTCTTCATCTGCAGAAAATTCAGCCGCGTTGCTCCTCCGTGTAGTCGCCGGAAATCGCCCTCGGAGACGAACCAGGCAATCTCTTCTACATCGTCGTCGAACTGCTTGAACGGAATACCTGCTCGTACTGGAGGAGGAGGTCACTGGCCGGAGACGACGAAGACACCGAAGTCGCCAGAGATACAAATTAGGGACAAGGTCGGCCCATCAAAATTGAAAGTGAAAAAATGATGAAATTGATAACCGGAGAGGGGTTAGTAGGGAAAACAACGGCCGGGAGGTTCACCGGCGGCTCGGACGCGGCTACCGACGACCGGAGATCCATCAACTAGTTTAGACGAGCGTGAGTTTTTATGGAGAAGAGTGTGTTGCGTGTTGGAGTTTTAATTGATTGTGGGGCTCTCAAATGAAAATTAGATAATCCTTAGGGCCTATTTTACAATTTATCAACTTTTAATGTATGTGTATTTTATTACTTGAATGTAAATTATAATTTAATGAAATTAATTTTTAAATAATAATTACACATTAGATGCACAATATTTTGTGTAGGTGTGCACTTTAAAAAATAATGTCATGTGTGTACAAAATTATTATAAAAAAAATTGATAAATATGTTATTTGTTTTATAAGTGAATTGCACAATATTATGTATAAATACGCACTTTAAATGTAAAAACAATTAATCAAAATAAAATTTAAAATTTTGAATTTAAAATTTCAAAATAATTGGTTTAATCAAAATGAAATTTAAAATTTTGAATTTAAAATTTTTAAATAATTGGTTTAATTTATCGGTTAACATAAATAATCAAAATAATCGACATAATTACATTATTTATTATAAAAAACGTGAATAATATTTAATATTTTTTACTTAATATTTTATTTTGTTTCTTGATTAAACATATTAGTATACATGTAAACGAAATATAGTGTGCAATGTAATAATTATCGATATAATTTGTTATTTACATTAAAATTATATTTAACATGGTAATAATTTTATTTATTATTTTTATATTATTTTTTGTTGGAAAAGCAAAACAAAAATTGAGTACGGTTGGTTCCATTCACTATTTGGGCGATCATATAGTCGTGATAAAGTGTAGTGTATTATTTTTATAAAGTGCAACATATTGATGTATATAGTGCAACATATTGATGTATAAAGTGCAACATGTTGATGTATAAAGTGCACTACTGTAATTTCAGTATGTTATCACGCTAATGTGCACTCGCAATACATAAAAATATAAATAAAAAATAGTATCATTTGTTAAAAAAAAATATTAAAAAAAGAAATTAACAATATCTTTTTATATAGTTCAACATGTTCGGCTATTTTTTTTATTTAAAAAAAAAACTATATCTGTCATTAACCAAGTAATATTATTCGATCTATCATTAGAATTACTACAATTTACGTGCAACGTGCTGTGTTATAAAACGCGATGTGTTGTTATATAAAGTGCAATGAATTGACATATAAACTGTAATACTTAAATTATGGTATGTTAACATGATTGTGTTATTTTTGTGGATATATGATGCGATGTATAGTAAAGTATTATGTCGATCCATTTTTTTACATTTATATTGCGTAATATTTTGGCGGGAGATGTTGACATTAATTGTGGAGTGTGACGATAAAGTGCAACATGTTGTTTTATAAAGTGCGACCTATTGTTATATAAAGTGCAACATTCCGCTATATTAAGTGCACTAATTTATACTTTTCCATTTGTATCCGAAAACTAGTTTTACTTTTAATAGATATAATTTTACATCTAATTAACCTAATTAATTAAAATATATTTTTATGTATTACTTTTATTATATAAATTATTTATTATTATTATAATTCATTTTGATACCTTATATTATTTTTATAAACTGCAACATGTTGATGTATAGAGTGTACTACTGTAGTTTTGTGTTTTGTATGGATAACTGATGTGATTGATATTAAAGTATTACGTACATCCGTTTTTTAGATTTATGTTGTGTGGTATTTTTGGTAGAAGACGTTAACAGTAGATTTTGGTGATAAAGTGCAACGCGTTGTTTTATAAAGTGCAACGTATTGTTTATAAAGTGCAATATTTTGATATATAAAATGCACTACTTTATATGATCACGTATAAATTGACATAATTGGGATATTTGATTTGTTACACAAAGTAACATAAATAATTGAAATAATTTATTACTTATATTATAGAAATATATTTATTGTCTATTTTAATATTTTATATTAATTTGGAAATTATATAATATATGTATGCATAAAAAATATGTAAAATAATATATTTTTATATATTTTTAAATATTGCAGATTTGACCCATATATCAAATTGAATATAATCAAAGTTTTTGATATTGCAATTCAGTCCATGCAAATAATCAAATTCTCATAAATCAAACAACTCAATTTTGCCCCAATCTCGCCGGCTCAAGCCCTTGTCTCCTGCGACCTCTCGCCGTCCGACTCAGATGGTCTAGTCATCTGCTCCTCCCGAAGACGACGCGCTTCTGCTCGTGGAGAAATTAGGGGAGTCTGTGGTGAGGCGGAAGATGAATCTCCGCGAGCCCAGCGGCGGACGGCGGGTTGGTGACATCTTGGAGGACTTTTTAGGGCGTATATGGCATAGGCGAGGTGCTGTCAGATTTTTCGTCTGTACCGCCGTTACTGTGGCCGAGGACCGGGATCCTCTCGACTCTCGAGGTCGGCGGCGGAGATGGGGGAGGAGTAGACGGGAAGAACGAAATCCATCCGATTGATTTTTCGATCAGAGCTGGAAACGGGCGGCGGTCGGAGGAGCTGAGGAGGCGGAGGTCGAGGTCGAGACGGAGGTTGACGGTGCGGCGGTTGAAGACGACGACAATGGCAGATCTGCTGCCCAGTGTGTGCGTATATGTGAGAGAGAGAGAGAGAGAGAGAGACATAATTAACGTGAACAACTGTGATAAATTAATTGGAGTGGTGATGTGGGACCCATTGTGGTAGATGATGGTGTTAGAGTAGGGTACCCGGCGTTCCAATCTAATTGGACGTATTCTACTTGTAAATACAGTCTATTGGAATTATATTATGAATAA